GGGCGCTGACCCGCCGGCCCTCGCCGGACTCCAGCCCGGGGCCCTGGCGCCCCACCGCCGGCCAGGCCAGGCGAGGCGAGGGAGCAGGGAGGGCTGTTCTGGGAGCAGGGGAGGGCAGGGCAGGGCAGGGCAGAGGAGGAGAGGCGAGGCGAGGCGAGGCTGCTCCCTCCCTCCCCCGGGGCCGGGAAGGCGCCTGGTTCCTTGCAAAGTACAAGAGCAAATCCCCGCTGGCCGCCCCGTGCCGCAATGGAGGGGAGCGCTCCCGGCCCTGCCTTGGGGCAGCCGCCTGCTGGGAGGACGGTGAGAGGGGCACGTTTCTTTGCGCGAGGAACACTACATGACAGGGCATGTCGCTGTGTCGTCTCGCGCCTCGGGTAGCAGCGGTGTCACACTCGCATCCTGGGCGTGCAAGGAGAGTGCTGCCGACAGGGAGGGCACACGTGGCAGCTGCACACCTTGGTGCGAGGGACCACGTCTGCAGGGCGGGTCAGCCGGCTGCGCTTGATTCAGCCGGCTGCTCTTGACCTGCAGAGCCTGTCTCGTGTGTACACAGCTCTGATTCTTCCCAGCCTGCCCGCACGCTGCTTCGTGCCAGGCACCGAGTACTGACATACAGCTCAGCTCATCCGTTGGTCTCCAGCTCTTCACAAAGGTGTGCGTGCGTCGTTTTCCTCACCTTCGCTGAGCAAAGGAGAAGAAAACTGAGGTGTGGAGAGAAGTGATTTGCCCAAGGTCGCCTGGCAAGTCTGTGCCAAAATTGAGGCAAAAACTCCAGTATGTGCCTGGCAGCACTGCGACCCCCGGGCACTGTCGGTGTTGCTCCCAGCTGGAGCTGTGGCTAAGTGTGTGTGTGCGTGTGTGCGCGCGCGTGGGGGGGGTGTAATATGACTACAGCAGGTATTGACACACACAGCTCCAAGCTTATGTTGTGCAACTGTCTCTCTTGTACAGGCGCACTCTCAGTAACATATTGGTGTGCTTTCACTGTAGTAATTGTCAATCCCAGTGGGATTTTTTTTTCAGAGCATCCAATCCTAAATACTATTGAAATCTCTTTTACATCTATTCTGCCGTTTCTGCTGGACAGAAATACGGTGTGATACTCTCCCCTCCTCCCAGCTGTACTGCACGGTGCACGCAGGAGAAACATACATCGGTTTGCCCATTTTTCCTGCCTTAATTGTGTTTCTGGTCTCCGAATCCAAAAAACCGGAACGTAAAGGTCTCTATCAAAAAAAGATTTAACAAATCTTTACCAAACCCATCCCTGTTTGTTCTGTTGCAGCTGGCAAATGAGGATGCTCAGAGCTTTGAAGCCTTGTACCTGCACCCTGATCATGTCGCTGCCCCATGTGTCCATCCCATTGCCTCCTGTTACAGACGGGAAGGCATGAGGGCCTGCTGTTTGCAGTGGCTTGGCAAAGGTCGCGCCACAAAGCTGCATCAATTAAGGCTAGTGCTGCGGAGTTGCTGGCCGGCCGTTCAGTGCTCCGACCACTAGGCCATGTTGTCGGCGTGTACTCCTGTGTCGGTCCTGTCGATGTAACTGGAGTAACTCTTGACCCTGGGACTGTGCCTGCGCTTGAACTGGTTGGTCTGGGACCTTGGAGGTGTCGCTGCAGGTCTGTGTCTCTTGGGCCCAGTCTGTGCAGGCTTCCTTGAACCTAGTGTTCCTGGAAGAGTTCTTTCCCTTCTCCTTTCCCAGCTGGGTCCGCATTCCT